TGGACAATCGATTGTTGATATACAACGTACATGGCAAAAAAAAGATCAAGTTTTAGTTGAACGTATTTTACAATATACAAATGTAAGGGATGAACAAATTAAAACAAAATTACGTTATGAAACACATCGAAAAATACATCAAGATTTTTTAGCAAATATCAAAACTACGAAAGTATCCCAAAACGTTGATAAAAAATTAGTTAAACCTCATCATGGATTGATTATGTACGGGCCACCAGGTAAGTTAACAAAACGAATGGTAAACAATATGTTATTGCATTGAATATTACTTATACCTATTACATAAGTGTGCCTTCACTATAAATTATGATTTAGTACAAGTTCCTTGGCTGTTCTACAGAAGAGCTCAAAAGTGGGCAGCATATGAAAAATGACGTATTTTCCAGATCGATTTTCTTGTTCGATGGTGTCCTTAACAGAAATTCTTATACCGTTGCAATCTATAGACCTAATACCATCAACGCCTGAAAGCGAGTTTTTGAACAATTCATATATGGCTCAAGGAGGATCAGAGGGGTCTCCAAAAATCCGCTTTTGGATTTTCTGTACCGCACATGTGATAGTATATGCGGTTAGTAAAAGCTAGTCTTCGTGCATTATTAGTTAAAGTCATATGCTTTTTTAATACGCGTACTGCATGATAAAACTAAAACGGAAGCGGCTGAGCCGACTCAAATAAATCCGCGAACTTAAAGATTTAGAGGTATGCTCATTAACTAGACATCTTAAAAAAAGTATTATTTCTACCACATGTAAGATTTCTAGAAAATTGACGGGGATATTTAATATCGAAAACCAGTACAGAATTTACTTTGACGACACCTGTATAGCTGAATTTTTTCGGTTTGATAATCATGTTTAGAACTGTTATGGCAAAGAAAATTTTAAGAAGAGGTTGTAGCCTAATTTTTAAGTTAAATTTTAAAATATCGAAACTTCAACTTTTTAAATTTGTAATACCTTGTCTCAGATAAAAGTTACAATTCTTTTAAAAATGTATTGGGCTCGAAACAGTGAACAAACGTCGGGTTTTGCAAAGCGTCTGATAATGGGCTTAGGAGGAATTTCAAGCTCTCGATGAACAAGATTTGTGATGACGAGAGGCAGATCATAAGTCTACCCTGATAGCATTCTCCAAACGAAACTTTGCTTTAGGAACTGGTACAAAAACACCTCATGCAGAAAAATGGGCTATCACTATTACATCCGATCCATTTTTATTACGTCAATTTTGTTCCGATGTTAATTTTACACTAACTAAAAAAGAAGAAGATGATGAAGAAGAAGAACGAAGAAAAAGCGAAGACAAGATAAAATGTGTAAAATGTAAAGGTTATTATATTGTTAATGATAATAAAATGGGTTCATGTAATCATCATGATGAATTTGTTTATGATAATTTATCACCTGGTTTAAAAATGTATACACAATTAATGGCAATCGAACAATTAAATTTAGCTGAATATAAATCAATTAGTATGAATTATAATCAAGAACAACGTGAACAATATGAACGAACAAAAATAAGATTTATGTTGTGATACCGTTGTTCAACCAGGTGGTAATGCTGGTGGATGTAAAAAAGGTAAACATGGTTTAGAAGAACACGAAGAGCGATAATAATAAGCAACAATAACAATAACAAGCATTGAACAGAAATAAATTTACAAGACAACAATCCACAGTATCCTATGATACTCTACAATCAGCCGCACAAGCAGAATGGGAAAAAATATGCCAGGAAAACGAAGAATACAATGAAAAACGTCTAAAATTACTTGAAAACCGAATACAGTCATATTAGATTTACGGCTTTGACGGAATATAAGACTAAACCGCCACTCCTATTTCCGAAAATCTAACTTATACAGTTTTGCATGTTTCCTAAGTAGACAGATATCATAGTTTTCCAATCATATAACCTATTGTGCATAAGTAATGAGACAAATAGCCGCGCCTACTGTGAAGTGAGATTTCATCACCTATATCTTATTAACGCTTTTTTAGATAGAACAAAGTGCGCGCTTTCGAACAGCATATCGTTTGCCTTGCGATAATTAGAAATAAAAATGACACAGAAAGAGCGCGAAGAGTTAGCAAAACACATTGTAACATCGATGTTGTTAATTGATGTTAGGGCATTCTGCAAACTCGTTCCGCATCAGTTATAAAAAAGCACTTAGAGCTACCGAATGGCTCCATTTTGAAGAAAAATGTTTGCTCTACCAAATTGGAGGTCAGGAAGAAATTTTAGTATTATCTGTGACAGAATGATAAGCATCCAAAACTGAGTAAAACTGGGAAAAAATAATCGACTGCTGATTATTTTCTGCGATTTTTGTTCGTTTTCGATTTATCATATTTTCTCTATATAATTAAAATAACATTATGACTCAGTGAAAACAAGACCTTGATAGATTCGGTCCTACCTCGAGTAGGGCTTACCGATAAACTGACCCTCCAACCGTCATCGGTTCTCACTTTAAAGAGTGAGATACATTAGAAAAAAACTATCAAAACTGTTGTATCGTTCTTCTTGCGAGGAAATATTCCGTGGTGTCCCGAGCCATTTGAGCTTGCATTATGTTTATCGATAGAGTCAATAATTCTCACAGAAAGAATAAAAGGATTTTTAATGCAACTGGATCCAGAGGTTTGAACAAAATACATTGTGACGTAACTCGAGAGCGAATCTATCAGTAATAGGACAATATTAAAGTTTGAAGTTTTTCCTGAAAATGGATGAGTGTCATAGCCAAGAAAACATTTAAACCCCAACCACCACGATTAAAATTAACTTTAGATGAGGTTACAGCTGACACAGATGAAATCCTTCGTGAGGCAACAACACATTTTAGAGAATTATTTTCCCCACAAACAAGTGATCTGGCTAATGACCATCACATAATGATCATGAAAGCATATGAACATGAATACGATCTTTCCCGAAATGTCGATCTTGCCTAAAAAATACGCGTTTCAGTTCACGTATCATGAAGTGTATAAAATGGTGAGGATATTGAAGCCTAAAATATCGCCTGGTGCAGATCGTATTTCAAACAAGATGTTACTTCAATTACATCTTATTTTCATACATCTTTTTCAATTTGCAATACGTAAGTATTTTCAATTTACTACCAAATGGCCTTAAACCTACTCATTGGAAAAACAGTAAAATGTCGTTATGGAAACAGAAAAAGCAAGTAATATCAACAATAAAAACTACGCGTTCGATTCATTTATTGTCTGTAATCTCCAGAGTGTACGATAAACTATGTGTGGCTGATATTTGATTATAATATTCTACCACCAGAACAACCGGAGTTTGTCCGTGGCCAGCGATTGCATCATAGAGTCTTCGATATGCTACAACAAGTGTGAAGTTCGCTGGCAGCCAAACGACCGGTGGTATCAGTTTTTATTGATTTCAGTCAGCCTTCGATATGTGTTGGCACTCTTCTTCAAACTCAGGCAACTTCACTGCCCGAAAAACATAGATGAATGAGCAAAAGAATATTTGAAAAATCGATATTGCTTCATCTCAATCAACGATCACCAGTCGGAGCTGTATCCAGTTAAAAGGGGCTTTCTCCAAGGATCTTTATAACATTTAGTCGACGAGTTCTTAATGTTTTAACAACAGATGTGAAAATTTTCTCCAGGTTAATCATTAAACAGTAATTAATCCTTTGTAAATTACAATGGATTACTTACTCCTGATGCCATATGGTACCATGGTAGTGTGAAAATACTTTTGTCATGATCAACGTACCATTCATCCTTTTTAATCTTTAATCGAGATTTATGTCAAGAAAATAAGTGTGGGTTAAGAAATTTGGGGGGTGGAGAAAAACTCAAATTCTTGATAAGACCTCAAAAATGCAAAAAACCGTCCTCTTCGGTGAAATTGACTCTTTGGGGTTATATTGCAAGATGGAAGGTTCGAACTATATTTTTCTGAATCAGCATTGAAAAAAGTGATTTTGAGAAAGGTTTTCAGTTCGTTTCAGAGGTAAACACTCGTCTGCCATGAACGTCTGAACCAACAGCTGTCAACTGGGTATGCCTCACTTTGTAAACCTATCTTGGCTTTTGAGTGAAGGGCTATACCGATGATTCACACACCATTCGATCGGGCAACACGCCAGCCTTCAAAACATGAAGAGCGTTTTTTAAAATTTTCTTGCGTTCCTGAGAAAGTTCATTTTTTCTAAATTGGAAGCGAAAAACTCGAGATCTGCCAGTAATTCTCAATTTGCTCGATCAGAACTTAACTTTTATGCAATAGAAATGTCATATGCGGGATCAGGATCAAAAGCTGAGTCGACTGATATGTGTTTCTATCATATCCGGCTGCTTTCATTTTTTTCGAATTTTGGGTGAAAATCTCGGTAATTTTTCAATGTGAAAACTCAAATTTTGCTTTAAGTGTACCTTACTACATTTACCTTTGACGGCAGCATCACTCAAGTCTAGTACTATTTGTATGTTCAGCCTGAAAAACGTCACATTGAAAAACGAAGTTTTCCATTCATTCCAAACTCTTACTTTTGGAATAAATACAAAAGCTTCATTTTCTTTTCGAATATTTTTCAAAAGCAGACAAGATGGAAGAATATTATTTCATTATTGTGAGAGAAGTATTATAGAATCAATGTGCACAAGTATTAATGTAAGCATGCACATATAACCCTCAAAACTATTTATCTTTCCAAGTGTATGATGCGATAGCTTTATATATATTTTTCTAGCTTATTTAATTCTCTATCGAATAGTATACAACATTGAATGATATACTTATCTAGAATTAAAAAGCGTCCCAAACACGGCCTCAAGCCCTGGCAAATCTTTCTCCCTCCTTTTTCCTTTCGGAGCGAGCAGGTACAAAACTTTCAATTTTTTTCTGAACTTTTCTTCCAAAATTAGAATTCTAATCTGCTCACTCTATGCAGAATTTCATGTCACATCTTTCTGTCATAACACTTTATTATAATAAAGCACTCTATTTCTGAAATCGTAGGCAAGATTTTAAAACCTTTTAGTAGCAAAAATGTACTGTAATGAAAACTCTTTTTTTCTGATAGTAATCCTTCAATCAACAAAAAAAGGGGTCAATAAGCGGCAAATTCGGCCCTCTTTCAAGTGATTATTCTATACAAGGATCTGAAGTTGTTTCTCTCCGGCAGTAAAGCTGAGGCTCTTTGACAAAATTTTCGCACTCGAAAGCTCTCTCTCTCGCTGGATCAACTATACTAATAGTATTTTCATTATTCCATCTCTTTTGTTCACCAAAAAAATTCAAACAACATGACAAACTAAAAACAAATCTTGCCACGAGACTCAGGATGATCGATTACCTGTAATCCACCAGCTTTCAACGCTAGCAATAGTCACCGGGACTCACAGAGAGTCTGATACAAGGTCCGAACCGCGGAAAATCAAGGTCTCGATTGACCCTCGTGTTGAAGAGGAGAATCCGGACTTCCAGTCCATGGAAAAGAGTCAATATAACACTTGAATTTTTTTGGTGAACAAAAGAGGTGGAATAATGAAAATACTATTAGTATAGTTGATCCAGCGAGAGAGAGCTTTCGAGTGCGAAAATTTTGTCAAAGAGCATCAGCTTTACTGCCGGAGAGAAACAACTTCAGATCCTGGTATAGAATGATCACTTGAAAGAGGGTCAAATTTGCCGCTTATCGACCCCCGCCTCAGGCTATATACAAATCGATATATCGTATCGAATTTAGAAAAACAATGTATAAGCCTTCGCTTTTAAAGGACATGTGCACTTTTCTTTTAAAAATGGTGGAAAGGGTTTTAGTACACACACATCACATGAATGAGCTAAACACGAATATGCAATCCATTTTCGCTCAGGACCTAACACCTAAAAGATTATTCATAGTCAAATTTATTTGATTTCAATGAGTGAAAATAACATTTCTAAAATCAAATTGTATAAACTTTTTCTACATTTCCTTTTCGAAACTCAATTTCTGTATAATCAATCAACTTTTCACATTGTACAAGTCTGTTAAATATCATTAAATAAATACTTGTAGTCAGAGATATGCGCCGCCACTGAAACATATTTGGGTTACCGATGCACATGTCTGCTTATAGTTTTTTTTATAAAGTGTCATCGAAAGTTCTTAGGCAGTTTGGCAGTGATTTGTATTGCATTAAATTTTTTACACTTAGAATGTTTAAAAGACTCTCAAACTATTGACATAAGTAGTCAATTACATAATTGACTTATATCCAATTTTGACCAATTTGTTTTTTATATAGATTTAATTCTAAAGTTTTTATGATTTCCATTATAAATAGATTTTTTATTTTCTAGAAAAAATCTAATCTTGATGATCTTCTGTTTGTTGAGGTTCTACTTTGGATCGTATTTTTACCAATAATCTTTTTGTCTGATTTATGTTCGCTCATATCATTCGTATCATTGTTGTTATGATGAGCTCTCCAATGAGAATAATTTTCTTAATCATTTCTCAAATGAGAACATTTCTAAACCGTGTACTCTTGAAGGAGAACATTTTCTCATATATATTTTCAAAGGAGAACAGTTGTAAATTGGAAGATAACAGATTAAAGCATAAGCTAATTAAGAAGCGTCTTAAAACCCAGAACTAGAGAAAGAATAATGCTGAAGAGACTGTTTAGACCACCATAAGGCAGTTCAAAAGATTGAAGAATACCAAGACGATCAACATGGTGAACGCTCGATCTTATAAAATTGCAAAGCATTATCGTTATTGAGAAACAAAAAATGTCACTATCATTTGCTACTGAAGATACTAGTAAAGATGGTCATAAGGCGTTATTGTACAGGGTGACCCAAAATTACGGTGACCAAAATACATTAAAAAAATATCGCGTAATTTTGGGTGACCCTGTATAAAACATACCGTTATCACCTTCGTACGCGTAAAGTTGATAACACTGGAACGTGGCGTTGTGCTGAGTAAGTTGTCCGCTTAGTATTGCTTCTCTTCTGTTGTTGTAACTAACTATCAACTGTATCAATTTAGCCGTAATTGTTGTGGATCAATAGTAGTCAACCCAACGACGTTAGCAGTTTTAGTGGAATGTGGGAACCACGCACATGAAGAAGACAAGGCTGAGCATCCACTAGTACGGGAATTAAAGCGAAAAGTTGGAGGTGATATTTCACCAATATCACATCAGTACTAATGTGCCATTCATTAGATGGTGAGTCGCGGGCATAAAAGATTATTTTTTTGTAGGATAAACGACAAAAAGTACAGCAGATTGTGCTTTAGTTCCAAAATATGAATCAGTTCGGTCAAGTCTCTATCGAGCGCGCTGGAGACAGTTACAAACATATCGACACTAAAGAAGTTTTTATGATTCCTGATAATCTTCAAAAAACACTTGATGATCAACGTTTTCTTGCGTTCGATGTTGATATTGGTTCAAGAATGCTTGGTTTTTGTTCTCATGAAGGTCTTTTTCGATTGTGCATGAGGTTGGTGGGTTCTAGAGCTAACTAATAGACAAGAAAACGTATTTTTCAATGTTAACGAATCTTCAACATTATGCGTCTAGTTATGGTGTACAGTTATTGCCTGCTACAATAATGACTGATTTTAAGGACGGCGCAATTCAGGTGAGTATGCTGATAGCTACTGATACCTAGAACTTTACATACTTTACATTTAATTATTATAATGGAACTATTCTTCATCGTTCCTATCAAACAACTTTTTGGTCGACTACCGGAGCAGAGATCTGGAGGCAGAAGACCATCAGATGGAATTCAAATTACTAGAACACAGTTGCCTATTATTCCTGCATTCGCGATAACCACCTACAAGGCTAAGGACTCACCATGAACAGAATTGTCGTCGATCTTCAATTACCGCCTGGAACCTCGCAGGTGGCATGGATCTATGTGCCACTCAGTCGGGTCAAGAAAGCGGAAGATCTGGCTATTCTTCGACCTTTTGAAATGAAAGTTCTACAAGTTCAGCCATCGCTTGCTCAGAACACTGAACTGAAACGTCTAGGTGAACTCGACAGAAAAACGCAAAGAGAATGTGCTAATTTTACTTGCTAAACCTTTCTGAATAAATCTTTTTTGAGATCTTATGCGCACTGCTTCTACGAGAAAGAGTCAAGCAAGTCCACAGACGAGCGTTACTTGTTACATATTCGTTATATTTTCTTTTTCATAGAAGCAGAAAAAAGAAGTGACCGCATTCACTTTTCATAAAAGTCAATTTTTTGTCGCACACAACTTCTTATAGCAGACGAATGCAATATTACAATAGGTTTCTAATAATAGTGGATGATTTTCTGGTAATAGTTTCGACTTAATTGTTAATGCTATTCCATAATGCTTCAGAGCTTCATCAAATTCAGTAATCTCATTATAAATCGATCCCAACTTACAGTATACAGTTGCTAACAATGGATCATCCGGTGCCAATAAATCCAACAAAATGTTCAATCCCCTTTCATAATATTCTAATCCTTTATCATATACACCTTTTTGCTCATAAAGTGACCCAATATTAACACATGCGACTCCTAATGATGGACAAAGTGGTTCCGGCAATTTCAATTCAACTTCAAGTCCTTTTGTATAACATTCTAACGCTTTAATATCGTCGTCTTTTTCGCTGTACATTGAACCAATATTAGCATACGTAGTTACCAATGACGGATGGTTTGATGGTAACGACATAAGTTCAACTTCTAGTTCTCTTTCAAAATATTCTAATGCTTTATCATATTCACCTTTCTCTTTGTAAATTGATCCAATATTGCTATATGTAGTGGCTAAAGTTGGATGATATCGTGGCAACGAGTTCATTTCAATATTCAATTCCTTTTCAAAAAACTCTAATCCTTTATCGTATTCGTCTTTCTTTAGGTAGATTAATGCAATATTTTTATATGTATTACCTAATGATGCATGATGTGGTGGTAACGTCTTCACCTTAATATCCACACCTTTTTCAAAATACTCTAATGCCTTATCGTATTCACCTTTGTGTTCGTAAACTAATCCAATGTTAGTATATATAACTCCCAACGATGGATGATCTGGTGGCAACGAATTCAAAAAAATTGTCAATCCTTTTTCAAAATATTTCACTGATTCATCGTAGTCACCTTTTTCTTTACAAAGTACTCCCATGTTAGCATAGGTAGTTCCTAATGACGGATGCAATGGTCCTAACAACTTCAGTTCAATTTCGCGTCCTTTTTCATAAAATTCGAATGCTATGTTATATTCACCTTTTTCAGTGTAAACTGATCCAATATTACCATATAAAGTCGCTAACGATGAGTGGTTTGATCGCAAGGATTTCAGTTCAATTTCCAAACCTCTTTCAAAATATTCCAGTGCCTTATCGTATTCACCTTTACTATTGTAAACAGATCCAATATCATTGTATGCAGTTGCTAACGTTGGATGAAGTGATGGTAACGATTGTACTAGAATTCCGAGACCTTTTTCATACCACTCCAACGCTTTATCGTATTCACCCTTGTTCTTATGCACTAAGCCAATACTATTGTATGCTGCCCCTAACGTTGTATAGTGTGATGGTAATGATTTCAGGAAAATTTTCACACTTTTTTCATAATATTCCAGTGCCTTATCATATTCACCTCTAGCATTGTGAACTAATCCAATATTACCATACACAGCACCTAGTGATGAATGATCTGGGTGTAACGATTGCAACAGAATTTCTACTCCTTTCTCGCAATATTGTAGTGCTTTATTGTATTCAGCTCTGTGATTATACACTAATCCGATATGACTATATGTAGTTCCTAATGATGGATGATGTGATGATAACGACTTTAGTTGAATAAACAGTCCTTTTTCATAATATTGTAATGCCTTATGGTATTCACCTTTTTCTTTGTAAACTGATCCTATATTAATATATGTGGTTGCCAATGACGGATGTAACGGAGAAAGTGAATTTAAAAAAACTTCTAGTCCTTTTTCATAGTGTTCTAGCGCCTTGTCATATTCACCATCTCCGTAACAAACCAGCCCAATATTACAATATGTAGTTGCCAATGATGGATGATGCGATGGTAGCAACTTCTGCTCAATTTCCAGTCCTTTTTCATAATATTGTAATGCCTTATGGTACTCACCTTTGCCATTGTAAAGTAATCCAATGTTATTATAAGTATTTGCTAAGGATTGATGGTTTGATCCCAACAGCTTTAATTGTATTTCCTCTGCTTTTTTATAATATTCTAATGCATTATTATATTCTGCTTTCGCATTATAGACTGACCCAACAGCTACATATGCGGTTGCCAGCGATAGATGGCTTATTGTTAGTGACTTCAACTGAATATTCAGTCCTTTCTCAGTATATTCTAATGCTTTGTCATATTCACCTTTGTCTTTGTAAATTAATCCAATATTAATGCAGGTCGTTGCGAACGATGGATGAAGTTCTGATAATGACTTTAATAGAATTTCTTGTCCCTTTTTTTCATATTCTAACGCATGATCATACTCACCTTGTTTATGGTATAGGGTTCCCATATTACAATATATAGTTCCTAGGGTTGGATGGTCCGGTGATAATGACTTCAATTGAATTTCTAGTCCTTTTTCGCTACATTCCAATGCTTTGTTGTATTCACCTATTTCACTATAAATTGATCCAATAGTAGCATACGTAATTGCTAATGACGGATGATGCGATGGTAACGACTTCAACTCAATACTAAGGCCTTTCTGAGAATATTCTAATGCTTTACTGTACTTAGCTTTGTGATTGTAAGTTAATGCAATATTGTTATACGTGGTTGCTAATGATGGGTGATCTGATGGTAACGACTTCTCTTCTATCTCCAGTCCTTTTTTGTAATATTCTAGTGCCTTATCGTATTCAGCTTTGTCGTAATAAACTGAGCCAATGTTATTATATGTATTTGCTAATGACGGATGATTTCCTTTTAGTGTTGTTAGTTGAATTTCCAGTTCTTTTTCATAATATTCTAAAGTCTTATCGTATTCACCTCTGTGACTGTGAATTAGGCCCATATTGCCATAGGTGGTTGCTAATGATGGATGATGTGATGATAATGATTTCAGTTGAATTTCTAGTCCTTTTTTACAGTATTCTAATGCTTTATCGTAATGACCGTTTTGATTGTAAATTGATCCAATGTTAGTATACGTAGTTGCTATTGATGGATGCAATTTTGGTAATGAGTTCAGCTCAGTTTTCAGTTCTTTTTCGAAATATTCTAATGCTTTAACGTATTCACCTTTATCGTTATAAACTATTCCAATATTATTATATGTACATGCGAATGATGGATGCGATGTTGGTAACGCCTTCATTTGAATCTCTAGTCCTTTTTCAAAATATTCTAGGGCTTGCTCATATTTTGCTTTATGAGTGTAAACTAATCCAATGTTAACATATGTAGTTGCTAATGATGGATGATTAGGTGGTAAAGACCTTAGTTGAATTTCTGTTGCTTTTTTATAGTATTCTAATGCTTTGTCATGTTCCCCTTTAATTGCGTAAAGTAATCCAGTATTATTATAGATGATTGCTAATGATGGATGAAATGGTGGTAAAGATTTCAGTTGAATTTCAGTTCCTTTTTCATAGTATTGTAAGGCATTATCGTATTCACCTTTATAAAAGTAGACGAGTCCAATACTATCATATGCAGTTGCCAATGATGGATGAAGTGGTGGTAATGATTTGAGTTGAATTTCTAGTCCTTTTAAGTAATATAACAATGCGTCATCGTACTGTCCTTTGTCTTTGTAAACTAAGCCAATATTTATATATATATTTGCTAGTGATGGATGGTTTGGTGATAAACCCCCCCCCAAAATAGAAGGCCACCCTATATTAGAAGGGCACCCTAAATAGAAGGCCACCTCAGAGGCAATTCTGTAAAATCCATATTAAAAGGCCATGGCCTTTTATTTTGTCTCAT